TCCTGATCTACCTTGGGGCCCCCAAACACAAAGGCACCATCTCCTGCTGGAGCTGAGTTCCATTGTCCCCAACTCTGCCATTGGATGAGGCTGAGCATCACCCAGCCCTCCCTGGCTGGCTCCTGTCCCCAGAACCCTCAGAGCAGCCCTCACACCCCATTCCAGCTGCACCAGGATCGTTCCCAAAACTCAGTGCCCTGAGCTGCCCTTCCCCCTATGTCACCCCTACCTGGTTAATTTAAACTCCCACACCATGTGGATTTTGCCACATCCCCCAAAAGGGGCAGAGAGCCCTCAGAGAACGCCCTATGAAGATGCAGGATGTGTCCGTGGGGAGCGGGGTGACATCTCCTCACTGGAGTCCCCACCACCTTCTGCAGCTCCTCTCCTTTTCCTGCTGGGAGCATCTCCAGGGGATTCTCAGCACCTGCCTTGGCTGCTTGTCTGGGCCTTTCCAAAGGGACAGGGGTCCCACCGCTCCCCTCTCTGCTTTTGGGGGCTGCCACGCTCGTGTCCAGGGAAGTTGGCCACATGGCTGTGTATAAATAGAGCATAAATAGAGTGGTTAACATGCCCGGCTGGAGAAAGGGAGGCTGCASAACTGAGCCCTTCCCAGCTGGAGAAAATGGAAAGATTTTTGATTTCCTTTGACATTTCACAGTTGGCTTTTTCAGTACCAYCACTGTTTCCCCAGTTCGGAATGGGCCATGCTTTGCTTTCTCTTGAGGAKCAGGAAAACTCCCTCTCCCCTGGTTTTCTTCCAGAGTGCCTTCTTCTGGCTTCTGTGGGTTTTGGTTTAGGGGGAGCCAAATGCTTCTTCAAACAACCTCCCATTGTGGCATCCCTGGACAGCCTCTCGCTGCTCCATCCCACAGCCGTGCTCTGCCACCACCACCACCAAGCTGCGTGCTGGGCTGGGCAGGGAGAGGCCGGACAAAGCCCGAGCAGCACCAGGAAAGAGCGGAGGCGCTGCTGGGACTCTTCCCTGTGCCGCTCTGCAGGGCCGGCGCTCCAGAGAGGGGCAGGAGCTGCTGGACGGGGCGCTGGCAGCGCACCCCAGAGTGGCACTGGGGACCCAGGGACCTCAGTGCCATCTCCGGGCAGCGGGCACAGCACATCCCGGAGCTGAGCTGGGCCAGGGTCACACCCCGACCTGGGGAGGAGGCTCCAGCACCCGTCC